AGCCGCCAGTAATAAATCCTGGTAGGACTTCTAATTCTCTCAGCGTCTGCTAAAGCGATTTTAGAAATATTGTAAAATTAAGTTTCCCGAAATTTAATATATACAATTTCACTGTACCTTTGTACATACGTTGAGTAAATGTTCCTGATTTGTACCTATTATCCTCTTGGCATTGAATTGCTTTTGTAGCTATCGTTCTTTTCATCATCATTCCAATGATTGTAGCGAAACTGAGAAAATCACCATTCCCCCACTCAACATGTCTCTCTTGTGTGCCAATATCATGGTTGAAAGTTACAGAGGTATTCATTAATGCGTAAGGTGTCTTGGACAAGTTGATACAGGAGCCCATCCCTTTCCAGATTAGAGCACAGCCGATGTCCTTTGACGAAGTCTCGTCTTGGTCAAGAGCACGTGACTGGTTATTCCATCTGCCTTGTTTATTCACTTCAGCCGAGGATGCCGTCTGCCCAGTAATGCCGCTAATTGTTCAATTAATATTTTCTCGCCTCTAATTAATGAATATCGGGCGATTTCCGATTTCCTCCTCACACCCATGCCAACAGAATTATGTAAGCGTATGTATATTGTTGAGAAGTAGCATAAGTTAGCCTGCTAAGAAAGGTTGTTTTAAAAAAAAATCTACCGTTCACAGATAGTAATCGGTCGAAAGCAAACGAAAGAGTGAAAGATACGAAAGAGTGAAAGATACGAAAAATCCAGTAAATCGTTCGTTAGAAATAAACAGCGCGCGTCATCAAAAGAAAAAAAAACTACTGTTGATTATTAAATTTGATTATAACTCTTTGTCGGAATTTCCTATTTTTGTGATGTCAGCGAACACTCGTTGCCACTTTTGTAATGTCAACGAATACTTGTTGTCACTTTTGTAATGCTCGTTGTAGTAGAGACTTTGAACAATAATGGTGTCAGACGCCTTCGAATAACACCCGCATTACTAGTACTTGCTCAATAATACTCGCTCGAAAAGTAACCACCGAATATCCGTATAGTAATCCGTATAGTGAGATATTTACTAACCACCCCACGCGCCCGGATGCGGTACATGGCTAAGTTTATAGTGGGGTATCCGAGCCCGTGGGCTCTGTCAGAAATTCCCCCATAGACCCCGTAAAAACGGGGACGGCTAGCTGTCTACTACCCCAGACGAGACTCTGCTCTTCAGCACAGCCTCGTCTGGGTACCTCTCTGCCCGGAGGCAGAGAGTTTGACAAGCAAATTTCAGAAGTAATCCGAATAGTGATCACTTAGACGCTACGCTAATTCCCATATATACATTTCCTTTAACATCACGTGATCTACTTATTCAAAATGGGATCACCTGTATTTGCTCCCTGGTGATCTATGTTCAAACTCCAGTGTCGGCAGCGACACTTTACTCCTATATAACACCTCACCTTTGAAATGACTTCCCCTGGGGTCTATACTTCTTCAGCTTCGGTTCAGTAGTGAGAAATTCTGTTGTCATTTTTTTTCTTTTGCCATAAACCCTTGGCTCAACAATTTCTGATGGCATGGGTACGTTAAACGCGTCGGCAGCGTCGCTTTATTCCCATATGACACCTAATTCAAACAAATGTTACATTTTACCGAGAATGACGTTTTAATTAGAATAAAAAAATTAATTCAATATATTATATACATTTTATTGAATAAAATATCGATGGTCGAATTCCAAGTTTGAACGCTGTTTTGATCCACTTGTTGGCATACCATTTCTTCTTCTTCCGCAATTATTATGAATCGCACTTGAACAGTCGGATAACAAAGTTTTCAGGTAGACACCGATAAAAAAGAAAGATGTATTCCTGACGCATGGGTAAACACAGCCTGTTGCAACAAGATGTTGAAACTTGATTAATGCATGGAATAATAATACAACACAAAATGTACTTAGCACAAAATGTATTGAAACAAGAAAGTGTACACAATATTTACATATGGTCTTTTGGTATATTATTGGGAAGACCGTTCCTGGAGAATGTGTTGACTTAGTCGCAGTCGGGCAGAGTCTCTGGATTGGATCTCTCGATTCCTCACCCGGTACCAACCATATTTATATGGTCGGTACTCCACTATGTAAATTAGGTGGATCCTACCACAACACAAGATATTCCGGAAAAACAGCTTTTTGTAACATCTCTCAGCTTTGTTTTTCAGGGTCGAAGAGAAAGCATGCAACACGTTTCTATACTTTATTAGTGTGTTTTCTTTCTAAAAATTAAAAACTTTCTTTCGACATCTGCCTAGCCGTCACCATTTATTTTCACTAGATATTTTTTGCAGCACGCGTTAGTGTGTTGAAATCCTCAGAGTGTTTACTATAGTTGAAGTTATCATTAACATTTTTGTCAAGATTTCGCAAATTAATCGGTGAAACTTGGGTAAACTGATTTATTTGATAAAACCATACTTCACGGTTTAATAATTTCTTGAATTTAATTCAATTTTACAGGAAAATTGCTTTTAAGAAAATGTCTTTATTTTCTTTTTCCTCTTTAATAGCGAACTATAAATTCTTAGGGTTTCTTACTCTTGAGCACGCAACATACAACTGGCCATGCGTAAATATTTCTTTCTAGAGCTAAATTCCAACTTTTTGATGCGTTTGGTCTTGTGATTTGTTTATAGTTCTCGCAAACGCAGGGAAAACTGGAAACTGGATATAAAAAATTAAAGAAAAGACATGCAAAAAACGATATTGCATTTTTATTAAATAAGTATTTGCTATTTTAATCATTAAATTGTTTTTATAATAGTGGAAGTATTTTATATGTTAAATAATAAAACTTTTCATTTTTCCAAAAAAGTAATGAAAATTTATTGTACTAAGCTATGTTCCCTAGTAAAACCAATTGTACTTTGTACCACCCTGTCTGTTTGCACTTTCCTCCAATTTTATCTAAAGATTATAGATATTTGGATAATTATTTGCCTTCGATGGCCATATGCTTCCAATTCTGCCCAACATATAATTGATCAGTCAACGCCCTTTTTACTTTTAAATCAGTGACATTTATATTCAGAGAGAAAGTTTGCATTTACTACGTGTATTCCTATTCGTTAGAAAATTGTAATGTGACCATTTAAATTTTATTTGGCCTATAATCCTTTTTAATTGCACAAACTGTCACGAATATTCCGCTTTCAGCTCGATAGATATATATCTGAAAATATGAATTAAATGAAAAAAAAAGATTAATAATGAATTTAAGTTTTAAAACGTGCAGACAAGTGTACTTTTCTGTTAATTTTGTTGATTCACTGTGTATTCCGTCAGTGTTGCTTGTTTATTGTTATTATGTATCTGATGGGTTCTCCATTGGTGAAGGTTGATCCAATGTTTATTCAAGATATTAAGTTTGGTCCAGTGCTTGTTTAGTATAAGAAGGTTGGTTCAATGATTATTCAATATATGAAGGTTGGCTCAATGCTTGTTCAATATATGAAAGTTGACCCAATGTTTGCCCAGTATATGAAGGTTGGTCCAATGCTTGTTCAGTAGAAGGTTGGTCCAATTGTTATTCAATATATGAAGGTTGGCTCAATTCTTATTCACAAAATGAAGGTTGGTCCAATGCTTGTTCACTATATAAAGGTTGGTCCATTGCTTGTTCAATATATGAAGGTTGGTCCAATGCTTTTTAAAATATTAATCTTGAACCAATGCTTGTTCAGTATATGAATGTTGTTACAATGGTTGTTCAGTATATGAAGGTTTGTCCAATGTTTGTTCAGCATAAGAATGTTGATACAATGCTTATTCAATATATGAATGTTGATCCAATGCTTTTTAATATAAGAAACTTGGACCAATGCTTGTCCAGTCCATGAATGTTCATAAAACGGTTGCTCATTATATGAAGGCTGACTCTTGTTCGGCATATGCAACTTGATCCAATGTTTGTTTAATATATTAATGTTGAACCAATAGATTTTTATTAAGTGAATCTTGAACCAATGCTTATTTAATATATAAATGTTCATACAATGGTCGTTGAGTATATGAAGGTTGATCAGATGCGTGTTCGGCGTATAAAGGTTGATCCAATGCTCGTTACATATAAGCAGGTTTGAGAGAGTCAATGGAGATTGTTTCTTTGTGATCAAATTTATCTAAGAAGAATCTGAGCGGTTTTTTTGGGGTTTTTTTTGGGGGGGTCGGTTTTTCTAAAATTCGCTAAGGTCCATCATAAAAATATTGGATGGATCACTTAAATGAAAGTTTTGATATTTGCTGTTTCAAACGCAAATCATGTTCTATAGATGTGACTGAGCAGTGTTACTTATGAGTGAGGGATTCTCCAGGAAGACACAGTGTTGTACTGTATACCAAAGAGTGTATCGGAAAGAGTGTAACCGAGTTTTTTTTTTCTTTTTAATTGCCTATCGGAATCCTTGTAGAATAAGTGGTAAATAGTTCGAGTGAGCAGATATCACCGCTTTTAACCGGTGATGTATTATCTCAACTCACTTGTTAATATAAGAATTGTAATGGTCTTTATACGATTGGAATCCAACAATCGAATGACTTCAAGAAAACAAACCTGAATTGTGAGCCTGAATCAGTCGTAACTGATATCTGCACATCGAAATTAGTGACCCAATTATCTATGAAAGCATTAGCAGTAATTTTTGCTGAAATGTTCTCAGTTGTAATTGCAGAAGGTTATCGGGCAATTTTACTTGTTATTGTTCAAATATATGAACAGTTATTAGATGAGAGTAATGGTAATGATAATATTAGCCGTTTCCTTATAAGGAAACATTTGGCATTCATTGACCGAGTATTTAGAATGGTTGTAGGTTTAAACGTATGAAACCTTTCTCTTAAAGCAATTTTTCAAGAAAATAGGTTTCTCAAATCTAGTAGCTGTTATTGCTCTTTCCAGTATTGCTGGGCGCTTACTTCCTTGCAGAAGTGTGGAACGAAACATGTCATTATTATCTCTCCGAATTATATGTGCTTCCCATTTAAGTTTAACGTCGCTAGGTGGCGCGGCAATTGGGGGTATAAAAGGAACACTCTCTCTCTCTCTCTCTCTCTCTCTCTCTCTCTCTCTCTCTCTCTCTCTCTACATTTGTAGCTCTTAGTAACGTTTGACTTTCTATCTTTAAGTCACGTTTCTGACAAATGGATCATAGTGAGATTCGACCCCGTGTTGTTGTGGTCGGAAAGCAAACGTTTTATCCACTCAGCGGTAAGCGTAGTGTGTCGGTTATCAACGCGGGAAGTGGAATCGGTATGCCGAGTTCAAATTCCTACCCAGGTAGCCTCATTGATTTTCACACAAATAATCTTGAGAAAATGATAAATACAGTTATTCTATTCTGGTTGTAGGCTAACAAGCACATCAGAGTAGACTGTTCGGTCTAGGAGAATGAAAACTCCGAAGAGAGCTTTTATCAGACTTCGTAGCACTCTTTGCACGATTTCATTTTTAACAATTCTTTCACTTTGTTCTACACAAGCCTTAACTATTATAAGCAAATCAGTTCTAAAAAGGGAACCTTTCGGCCTTAATACGTCGAAATCGACAGAAGAATGCACCACACACACGCACGCACATACACACACATATGTAAATAAGTACAGTGGGTTTTACTAAGGTACGTAAAAACATCGAAGTAAGGTTTTTATCAAAGTATTTTTCCAAACAAATCAGCTTATTCAAATTTCATTGATTGGTTTATAAATCTCGACAAAAATGTTAGCGATAACTTCAACAATACTAAATACTGTGACGATTTCAACATGCAAATTCTAGTTCATTAAATAAGAATAAGTTTTTTTATTCAACTTTTCTTTTTTTCTTTCAATTTTATCTTTATACGCGTAAATATAATTTTCTCTTTTCATTTGTGAATTATACTGTCCTTTATATAAAATATATAATACATAATATATATAAAGATATATATATATAATATTATATATAATATATATATATATTTAGATATATATTTAAATATATATATATATATATTAAATATTAATATATATTAAATATATATATATATATTTAATATTTATTTATATTTATTATATATTTATATTCAATATATTTATCTATATAATTTATTTATATTTAGTATATAATATATTTAGTATATAATATATTTAATATAATATAATAATATAATGTATAATAATAGTATAATAATAATATAATATAATACGATAATATAATATATATAATATAATATAATATCTAATATATATAAAAATTAGATAGATAGATAGATAGATATTGGTAATATTAGTGGTAGGTCTGATGAATTGGATCGTATTTACGATTCCAATGGAATAAATTATGACCATAGAATATTAGTGTTTATGCCTTTTCATTATATATATATATTCTCAGTATTCTTCTGTGGCACCACACTTCTTTTGTCTCCTGTCTTCTCTTCCTCTATATTCACTGCCATATAGGAGAATTGGTATTACGTGGCAGTTTAGCGCTGTTTACTTTGTTTCGAACAAAATTTTCCTGTTTCTTAATACTTTGCTTAGCTTTTAGAATACATCTTTTGTTATTCCAATGTGTCTTCGGATTATGGTGTCACATTTTCCGTCGTCAATTAAGATACTTTCCAAATATTTAAACTTTTATTCTTGTTTGATTTCCACATCTCCAATTCATAATTCGTATTTTGGACTTTCTCTTGCTGACATCTATATATTCGGTCTTCTTACAATTGATAGTTAGTCCTTTCTTCTATCTTTCCTTTACGTCCTTGTCTTAGCAGACCCTGTAGTTTTCGTTCTGTGTCTGCCATCAGCACAGTGTCATCTGGGCATCTTATATTATTAAGATTGACCCCATTATAAATTCGGGGGGGGGTCCCCAACTCCACTAAAATAGCCTCGCTGTAGAAGCTGAATAATCCGTCTTTCCTCATAAAGTATCCCAGAAATTTCAACTGTTTCTTTCTGATTTTAAGTGTATGTGTCTTTTTAGTTGCCTTTTTCTTTTACAATTTTCTCTTTCCTCGCGCGATTTGCCCATGGATTCCTCAGCGTCTGTCTGTAGAAACCCATCTTTGTTGCTTCGAGCCTCTTCTTCATCTGTGAGGAAAATGTCCAGCGTTCACTATCATACAGGAGGATAGATATGACACACCTGTTCTACACTATTTTGCCTGTTTCTAACGAAATATTCCTATGTCGTTAATACTTTGTTTAGTTTCGCTGTTTCGGTGCTGTTTTTCGGATCACTGGGTTACATTTTCCTTCGACATGTTAAAAGAAACTTTGCAGCAGGAAAGGAATATGAACGTCAATGTGTAATTCCTTTTAAATTCGTGTACCCAAGGACATACTTGAAAGTTTGCGCATGCGTCAATTTTCAAACCCCAGAGTTATGGATGCAAGGTAAAAATCAGAAGAATCTTGAAACCTTTGAAAAGTACCATATTTGTTTCTCTCTATGGCAGAATCCAAGAGCTAAATAAAAATTTACTGCATGGTTTGTTTTTTATACCTGTCCTTATCCTAAAAGGGAGAAAAGAAAATGTCGTGTTTCGATTCTGTAACTTGTCCAGAGTGTATGTACTCAACATTTACTAAAGTTTATATCAGTAATACATTCGTTAGGGACCGACCAATCCAAGAATTGTTTGATCAATATCTTAAACGAATCGAGAATTAATATCATTGGTAAGAAGCCGTTAGAACTGAAACAGACATGAATTAAATAGATTACACGCTTAATATAATAACCATCTACAATTAGAATTCAAATTTGTGTCTATCAAGTTTTATTATGATTCGGAAATCTACTTCTCTGCCTGCTTGTCACTCTGTAAACATATCTGTGAATTTATACTTGTGAATCGATCAAATTTTATCACGCTGTCTGTTCTTTTTTTATCTTTCTCTTTTTTTTTCTCTCTAACTGTGCATCTGTGTGTTAATCAATCAATCATAAGACTGGTGGAAATGTCAGAAGTAAATATCTGCCTTTGTCACCGACCAGACTGACGCTATACAGTCTCCCTATTCTTTTTGCAGCTTTGAATTACAATACTCGCTTGCTTTGTTCTCAGAGAGACATTTATATCACTAAACAGTATATACATATATACATCTATCCCACGCGGAGAATAATATCTACACATCAAAGCAGAGTGTAAAGCGAAACAAAAAAGGGGTCTTACATATAATATGGATACTTCTGTGTCTGGAGGATCCATGTTTAGGACTCCAGATTCAAAAGGTCAAGATTCATCTATGTCCCAGGACATATTCCACGGACGGAAAACAGATTTTCTTGGGTTTTAGTGACTGCGAGCTGAATTTCCATTCTATATATGGGGAAGACATATTCCCATGGCCTTGTAAGTTGCTAAGGAGGCAGATTTAGCCACTGCCCTGACAATGGATGGCCCGGGCTAAAGAGAGTAACCATACAGTTCGCCTGCTGTAAACGAACTGAAACTTGACTGCCGCTATACCCACCGTATGGAGTGACGTCATTAAGCGGCCGTTACGTGACCCATGTGACTTATCTCCGCCAAATGGAGATAATCGCCTTTTGTATCCCAACAATCATATTCGAAACATATTATTTATTTTTAGTTTATAATATCGAAGAAATCAATTTTTAACACTGTTTATTTAAGGTTCTGACAGCTTGACTGGCAGACTGACGTTTATCTAATTTTTTTCCTACGCTGGACATATCTGTAAAATTTACTTGAGGAATATAACATGAGCAGTATTTTTATATAATTTTAACTACCTAGTAATCTTTAAAAATTAGGAAATATTCCCCGTAATCTAATGCCGTATTGAATTTTAGGTACTTTGGCTTTAAATTTACTATAGTTATCACTCTTGTTTTCTGATAATGTCGTGTATGGACATCCGTATTAACCTTATTTTTTAGCGAACCAGTAGAGGTATCTATTATAAAGTTGTATAGTCTTTATTTTTAAAACATATTTTTACACACAAAGAACATTGCACAGGTATATGTGTATATGTATGTACTTTTCCTTATACTAAGTTACTCCAAACAGAAGGCTTACGATCCACTCGTGTTAGAAACTGAATGAAATGTGGGATATGAATGTAAGATGAAGTAGAAGGAAGTGAGGATTATGAGGATAAAGAAGATAGATAGTTATTGACGTTCGACTTGAAGAGGTCAAGATTGTAGTGTACGGCGAAGAATCCGCGCAGCAGTCTGTTCCACAGAGTAGCAATTCTCTAGAGAAAAATAACTGTCTTAGTGGAACTTCCTTCTTACGAATGGAATGCGGGGAAAACGTAGGCGATTCAACTTAATGGATGAGTCCTAACAGTTAAAATCTGAACTGGTTGAACTAAAGAATGGAGCTTATCTGAACTTTTGCCATGGAAATATCAATAGATTAGTTAGATTTTTTTTTGTTTTTTTGTTTTGTTTTTTTGTTTTTTTTGCTTTGTTTTGTTTTGTTTAACAGTATATAAACCCGTACGGGTTATTTAATGCCGAAATCGAAAGAGGAAAATTCAAACTTTATTATTAATTCAAGAGAATGACATTATTTCATGATGAAATTCTTAGTTTCATTTCTTTGTCAAATAATCTTACAAGATCCAGCGAAGAGTGAAAATTTATTTCTTTTTACGAGAAATGAGATTTTTCATAGCAAATGGTGTTTTTATTATTATTATTATTTATTTATTTATTTATTGATCATGCAAGGCATGATTTCAATTTTACTATTGTCATGGGTCCTTACATATAACTACAGAATGAACTCTTCCTAACACTATGTATACTACGCCTCTCAAGAGAGAGGGTCGAAACAAGCCGAGCTTCTCGGCTTGACGGTCGAACTCTCTGCCTCTGAGCAGAGAGGAACCCGGACGAGGCTCCGCCGAAGGGCAGAGTCTCGTTCGGGGAGGTTGACCAACCCGATCCCGTTTATACGGGTTCTACGGGCATTTTTTGGCCGAGCCTACGAGCTCGGGAAACCCACGTTAAACTTGGCCTTGTGCCACATACAACCCTCGTGGGGGGAGGGGCTAGATACCGAATCGAGCCGAGCTTCTCGGCTTGACGGTCGAACTCTCTGCCTCTGAGCGGA